ATGCGATAAGAGTGTTTTAAAACCTCTTTTCATCTCTTCCTTTATTTTATTAGATTGATCATTTGCGAAACTTTTAAAAGTTTTAAAAGTTTTTACCTGCAAAAGCGGGGAATTGAATGCCCATCACTATGAACGTAATATATTAATTTTTCTCGAATACGCTAAAACAGAGAGAAAGATAAAATCAATTAACGGTTTCAATTAAAGTCATCCATAAGCGATGTGCTAAAACTAAATTTTAGAATGTTAAAATTTAATTTTCATGCGCGCGCGCAACAAACGCGATTAAGTAATAAATTCCGGACAAGTTGGAAATTCCGATGAGAGAGCACATCGGAGAATCGCCGTTTCGTCTCGAAATTCAATACATATATATCGAAAGAGACAAATCCGGAGATGGGGGACCCGATAATAATCCTTCGATAAATGACGAGACATTGAAAAAGTAATGGCACTCTCGGCCGAATGCGCGGATAGAAATGAGAAATATACGCAGCCCCGGTATTTCGTAAGCGGCGCAACTTATGGGATTTTCGTGTAATCGTCCCGATAAATCCGCGCGGTATGCTTAGAAAGAAATATCGTGTTTAAGCTTAATTCGGAAGTGAGTGTGATAAAAATTGATGGCGCCGGGCTCTCGTGTGTGCGGTTAGCGCCGTGGCCTCGTAAATTTTGCATAACGGCACGACAATGTTAACGGAAACAACGGCAGCTTCCGGTATAGCGCTCTAGAGGATCGATAAGCCGGTCTTCTTCGTAGGCCGAGCTTATCGAGTTGTCCCGGGCTTAATCACGTCCCACCGTAAGCTTTAATTGTTTACACGTCCTCCCGTTATACGTCACTGCATAGCTGTGCAGCATTGATATTCGATTATTAACAATTAACACTTCAATATCAATTATGACAATTTTCCATTCCCGATGCAAACGTCCTATTCCATATATGTATATCGATACATGTATAATTATTTTACATATTCTTCGCCATATCTTGATATATATATTTGACATATCTTTGTCACAACATCGTTAACATATCGAATTAAAATCCAACGTTGAAATAAGAATTGTCGAGATTATTCATTTTTAGTCTAATATTTATTTGCATTTTATATTAAATATTACTTCTTTGGGTGTAGTTTTGGCAGTTATGCGGACATTTAAATGACTTATCAGACTTTTTAGAGAATGTATTTGTGTGTGTATGTGTGGTTATTATTATAGTAATATGTATGTTAATTTAATTACGTCATTAATCACAATCACTTCGCATTTTTATAATTAATCGATAATCATTCCATATATCTTTATGGTATGCATATACATATATATATATATATATATATATATATACATACACATACATATACATATATATATGATTATATTAACAACTACGTTATTTCATAATAAACTTTCTAGTAATAACGGCGTTCCGATAATTAGCAATAAATTTATCTTATAGAATTATATATATATTTATATATATGTATATAAAACAGTTAACACAATAATAAATATAATTATTGTGTATTTCTCAGATAGCACTTTATTTTAAAAAATAATAATAATTCACTTGTTACTCGCATTTTTTGACAATTTAAAAATTATTTGTCTTACATTGCAGTTTATATAACTCTATAATTGTATATCTCAATCTGTGAAATTAAGAAAATAACAAATCCTAAATTGATAATAAAACTTTTCATATGCTTACAAAAATTGATGGAATGACGTGGTTTAATTACGCGTTCGTATAACTTATCAATAGCTAACGTTCTTAATTCTAGACGACTGTAGAGAAAACATTCGAGAATTGTAGATTGAATATGAAATTGTCACGTTACATCGATATCACGCGATATTTGGTTCGATAGTTCAGACTTTAGCGGATAAACATGACGATTCGCTATCTACTTCGTAGAAGATCAGCTTAACTGCTGATACCTATTGTCATTTTACATTTGCTAACGGAGACGTGTACGACATGCATTTCTATCTATCATATCTCGAATTTATACCAAAGAACGATGACCGACATGTTCTTGAAGACACAAATCATGGAGCATGATTATTTGCATCAATGAGATTGGAAATCGCACAAATCTATTTTTTTTTTTTTTTTTTTTTTTTCTTCAAAAGTCAGCTGCTATCAGAATCTTATTTTTCTTATTTTCGTATTACATGCAAGGAAAAAATGTGAATACAATAATCCAATATTGAAAAATAAAATTCTAATTACACTGAATTCTTTAAAAAAAAATATTCATGTGATTTCTGATCATATTGATTTAAATTGAACATTTAGATCTCTTATCTAAAATTACGAGCAAAATTTCGAAAAACGTCCACTTACCATTATCCTAATTTAGTATCATGAATAAAAATATGGAAATATCTATTTACTTGTAGGTTGATTATTTTATTTAATGTTTTAATTGCTAATATTAACATCTTGCAGAAATCAGAATTTGTCTTTTCAATACTGGTTTTTATTTCTCAAAAAAGAACATGTCTACTAAACTGGATAACAGTCGATGTGTAAAAACTTTTTCGAAAATTTAGCCAAAATTACAATTATCTATCGTAATGCATGTCCGTAACGTTGGACTGATTTCAAATGATTTGTATAAACACCGATTTTCAAAATATGCGCATAGAAAATGTCAAGGTGGGGCACACATTTCCTTTTCTCTTAAAAAATGTTAGAAATTTTTAAAGATGGAAAAGATTCGACAATTAAAACTGTTGTGCCGTTGTTTATCTTACATTTTATTTCAAATAATATTTAATCAAAAATTCTGTAAAAATCGATATTTATGTAAATTCGTTTTCTTTGATAAATTCGATAATTGCTGACGATCTCCTGAGAAACGTGGGAGTTACCTGTTTGCACGACTTGAAAATTTGTCGCTTGAAAATTCCAGGCGTGAACACGGAGATTTCGGTGATTTCGTTACGCGACGCGGCAGAAGAGAAGGACGATGTCGACATCGCGACGTCGTTGCGACATTTGCGAGTTCTACGTGACTCGAGCTGGAACGGAAATAGTACAGGGTGTCTTGAGAGATAAAGAGCTTACAATCTTTATTTGCTCAACTCAAAAGAAAAAAAAATCTATTTTATCTCAGACACATTAAACGCATATATATATAATAAAATAAAAGCAAATACGTAATTTCTTAAATGCTCTGCATCTTTAATTCTGCACGTGTGATAAGAGAAATGAAAATATTCTTCCGCGTGAAAATACGAGAGCAGAAAATATGAATAAATGCTAAATTTTCAAGTCTGACTCAAACAGGTACGTTAACTTCCGCGTATATATATGTTGCAACATCTCGCTGTTACAGCTTGAAAAAGTGAATATGATATTGAATTTCAAGTAGCATTCGCTTACCTCGGTTAATCCCTTTCTTCAAAACACCACGTATACGAAAAGCTCTGAAAGAGGCGAGAGTGAATCTCGCGAAAACTTTTCTCGCGGAACGACATTATCGCCAGACAGTTCTGCAATCTGCATGAGGTTGCTGCATCAGTGGAACTCGAAATCGTCGAGAGTATACCTCACTCCGTTCACTCGTACGACACAGACACATAACATACGAGGGATGCAAAAGGTGCCCCCACACCCCATTTATCTCCCCTGTAATCCACGTTCTTATCGGTAGAGACCACGAACCCGGCATGAACATCAAGATGTTCTCCGCGATAAAGCAATTCGAGGGAACTTTTCTGACGGACAAGTATCGAAAGTGGAAAAAAGGAGAATACGAGGGCGTAAGCACCGCTCGAACATTCTTCAGCCTTGGTCAAAGAGATGCCGGGAGACGCGAAAAAGGTGCGCATCTCTCTCGGATATCGGAAAAGTATTTGCAGAAAATCCTCGGTGCGGTACTCGCGCGGCGGGATTCCAATATTCCGTCATTCTTAGTGCCCCTCTGTTACGGATTTCGTTGGGATTTGCTCCGCTAATGGGAAGGAAGGAGGGGACGTGTTTTTACAACAGCAACTAAGTAGGTAGGATGATCTTAATGAGTTCGCTCAAACTTTGTGATTACTTTCTTTTTTTTTTCTCTCCTGCGTTAAAATTCTCTTGTATAAAGTTCAATCCACGACTGTAATTTCCACGTTTCGCAGAAAGTAAAATCAATGATCGAAATATATAATTATAATATAAATAGATTAATTCGCACAGAGTAGAGAGATATTAGGAACAGATTTTAATGATCAGGAGGTAATGTAAAAAAATTGCTTAGCGAATCTTATCACGGGCAAATCGTTGGTGTTATAATTCACACGATGTGCCACACGTGAAAAACGGTGGGAACAAAATAAATTAACTCCGCAATGTAATACACACGTACTGTTTCCGCGACGCGTAGCGGAACCTATTTTACGTTCGCGTTTTCTGCATGCGCTTGCTACAAAGCATTTTTGATTAAGAACTTGACAGCGAGGAGAGAGGCAATGTCCTCGCCGAGAGGCCGGGATGGTGGAGAAATCGCCTAATGGGTAATTCATTCTCGAAAGGAAGGGACAAACGACGTCGAGGATGTCGCTGAAAAATATTCGAGTGGCCAATTGATCTAGGGATCTAGGTGGAAGCTTCTCCACGAGGGAAGCGAATGATATCGATGTTTTCCCCCACGCTCGATCATGCTCACCTCGCGCGATCTGATCCTCTTAAGGGTTCGTCGCATCACAAATCCCGTCGACAAGGTCCGTTCCTTCTGTGTGATTGCTTCAGAGACCGGGAGCGCTGCGGATCTAAATCGTAATTCCGCTTTTCGTGATGTTGATCGAGTATCTATGATAAACGAGGCTGAGCTAATTGTAAAAGGGATCTTCGATGTCCATGATCGAGAGCGTCTGTCGCGGTATAATAAAACCTTTAACCCTTTGGATGCGATTCTCTCTCATTTCTCACAAGGCGCATTGGAGGAAGATCAATAAAATTTAATTTATCTTAGCTTCTTGAAAAAGTTTTTTTTAAAAAATTACGTTTTATTAATATATTAATGGGTTCGACGATATATCATATTTATTTCGCTTATAGTTAATGTGTGTTATGTGCTGTGCATTATTAGTTCAAATAATTTATCTATTAAATAATACATTTTAAATATTCAACTCGCTTAAAATTTTCTAACAGAGGAAGTAAAGAAAGTAAAGAAAAGCTGGATAAAAGGAAATATAATTATTTCACAAGAGAACTCTCTCAAATTATGCAGAATGTGAACATTATCACGTAAAAAATAATACGCTGAATATTTAATTCAATTCGCGAGCGTTTTATAATTAACCTAAAAGTATATCAAGCGGAATCTCGACGAATTTCCGGCGATGTTTGAGATTATTCGCGCGCAGCATCCAAAGTGTTAATAATCATGTTAATTAATCGAGACAGAGAGAGAGATAGAAAGAGAGAGAGAGAAAGGGGGAGAGAGGAAACACTCGAGTTGGCGATCGCGTGTCGCCAAGGTTCTCGATATCGATCGTCTACCTAATTCACTACTGCCAGGACCTAAAGAGGAAGCTCGACGAGAGGAGACCGACGAGGGCCACCCAAGTGACGAGATCGAGCGCGCCCCTTCTGGATCCAGAGCCGCCGTTCACGCAGGTCTCCCGGATGCTGGAAATCTTCAGGCCGCGACGGCTCAACAGATTGTGTACGCCTCGTTTGTCGCTCTTCTGCAGGGTGTGTTCGCGCGACAATAGCAGCGAGTAAAGCTGAGGGTCGGGATGACGAGAGCAGAAAGTCAACACCATGTCCGAGGCGACGGCCTTCATTACGTGCATGCTGCCTGAGAACTGCTTATAGTGCCTCTCCGTCAAGGTGCCTGTAAATTAAATCAACAGTCAGTTAAAAAGCAATGACACGATATACGTAAGGAGGTGGAAAGAGAAAGAGAAAGAGATGGAATTTTCCTATCGAATTTCCGGTTTTTCGCATCGGTTCCGCGAGTTCGCTATCTATGTGCGCACGGAGCGGAATCTCTCGTACAAACAGAACTGTCGCGACTACAGAAATAAATGTCTGCCGACGACAATTCTATTTCCACAGATTATTTTCATTTCTGCGAGGAATGTTCTTGAAATAGGTAGAACGGTATGATAAAGAGTGGGATATTCTTGGTATTTACTAATTTGTTTTTCATGTAGAACAATTTGCGTGAAAATATCGTAAAAAATGCAAACTTCTTTATTACATAAATTTATCACAATGTAAATACAAATTTTGTTGATTTAATTTAGATGACGTTGCGTTATTCGCGTATTTTTTCAATATTTTTTATTTTTTCAAACATTAGACTTATTCCATTAGTATTTTATACTTTTAGACACATTATTTCATTTTATCAAGATTTTTAATTATTAGTGACGAAAATTAATTTCTTCATAATTTTAGGGTCGTATTTTTTAAATATTTTTTATTATCGAACAGAGAACAATTTTTAGTATCTAATTGTTTGATACTTAAATGATCTTTTGAGATGCATCTGATATATCTTTTAATTAGATTGAACACACACATGTATCGGTGATACAACTGAATGAAATACTGATGGACGAGTATTTTCGATTCACGTTTCAAAATAGGATATCTAAGTAAGATATTGTCAAGCTGGGAAAGGCATGACAATAAAGAAGAATCAGGCAAGCAATGACAGCTTGACTTTCCAATTTCCTGCATCCACTGATATAGCGAAGAGAAGAAACATGGCATGATATTCATTTGTATACAACACAAATCTCTATACATTATGTGCATATGTGAACATAATAGCTATGTATAAAAATGATAGAACTTTTAATTCCTGATGATTTTCATTAAAAAATATTAGAATATACTTATACATTTCTTTCTCTCTTTATCTTTCGGTCTTTCTCTTTCTCTCTTTCAATTAATCTCCTTATAGTATTTGGAAAGTGCTAAAACACTTCGAGTAATGAATATACGAGTATTGCAAAACAATAAAAGCTGATGCAAGTGGTATCGAAATTACAAAGAAACTAAAGTGTTTTCTCTAGAAATTTCTACGGCGAGTAACAAATAGTACACCATACCATTGTATCATTTATCACAGACTTGGCACTTTTATCTGAACGCACTTAATGGACTAAGTCGCCGCTTTGACAAATGTAAGTTTCAACTACTGTACTCCGGATTCTCAAGATATAAACTCCAAATTGTGGAACTATGTTTAATTTACGCAAGGCGAAAATAAATTAATTTTTGACCAAAGTGACAAATGATGTTTTGCCTAATATAATTATTTGCTTTAGAGTCGTCTTTGTCATGTATATATTTTTTCCTATTTTTCTCAAATATTTCAACTTTGAAAAAGCTTATTATTTGATCGATTAATTAATGAAATATTAAATTATTATTCTCTCCGAATAAAATAGTTTGAGTAATTGCAATAATTTTATTACAATTTCGCACTGTCAACGCGATCTAGATGGATTTGATAGTTGTCTGCAACGCGCGTCGAGATGTACAAATGCATGTGGAAATATGTAATATTACGCCTTATTACGTAGTTGAGAGCGCACTTAACGTTATGAAGGAAATATATGGAGACGAGACGGCAAGCACGTGTACAATCTATATGCGCGATGTGCGACCATAAGCGCATTCCGTATTCACGGGACCGTCGCGATGTCGGAAATATTTCACCAGGAATAGCACTCGACATTTAGAAGCATCCGCATTTCGTAGCGAAACGTACTGGACTTACATGCAGAGGAAAAGCAGCTTTACTTCCGTCACATTAACTGATTTTAATTTTTTTTTTTTTAACGGAATCTTCATCAATCTGACAATTTTGAAGTCAAAGTTTTTCATTGGCGAGAGAAAAGTCGAAACAGAGAGAAAGAGAAAAAAAAATATCGCGAGTGACAATTTTTCAGTTTTTCTATTTTTCATTTTTCTGTTTCTCTGGAATATACACGCGCGTACACGTTTTTTCACAAATTTTTCGATATAGGAAATATACATGTAGCTGTATATAAAATACTCTTTTTGCGCTCGTCTCGCTTCTCGTGGATCGGAGAAGGGAACATTGAGCCTAATCGAAATGTCGCTGCTGAATGCGATGACGTCTCGTGTATATGTAGATATGTGACGTATCGATCATTGCCGCAAAGCTCACCAACAATTCATCGGAATGACGATTTACTCACTGAAATGGTTGCGAATGACATTCACCGCGGACTGGATTGTCCCGACTGTTAGGTAAAGCGACATAAATGCAGCACAGGCAATGAAAATCGAAAACGCGTAATCACAAACACGATATCCACGTAATTGCGCAAAGAGTAATTAGATATTTATCTCCTCCGCATGCTGTGTCCTTTCCGATTGCGCGGAAGTCACGAATTAAATTAAAGCGACATGGTAATTATGCGCTGCACTTAATTACACACGCTGCGAATGTGCCGGCGACGTCATCGCTGCAATCGCTTCAGTCGATACATTGTCGTGATTAGTATTCAAATTCATTCCCATAGCGTGACATTATCATTAAATTTTGTTACGACTATCGCTCTATATATTGTTGCTCCAAATTGAGCGGTTGAACGCGTTGGATAGCAATGTAAATTTCTCTCTTGCATGCACATGTAACCAATTATGCATTAACGGCTAAACAGCATACCTTATCTATGAATGAATAATCATGTATTAACAGGCAAACCAATTAACCGATTAGTTTCATAATTGCAGATCTGTCTTCCTTCTATTTTAGTATTAAAATATAGTACGTCTAGATGCAGAGGAAGATACTATTTATACACTAAAAAAATGACTCAATTAATAAATATTTATATTTCAATACTGCCTAATAAATCATTTATTTAAATTACAAATAAATGTTTATTTATTTTGAAAAAGATTTTCTTATATATAAATATTTTTACATAATAATTTATTAGGCAGTATTGAAATAAATACTTATTCAAGATTAATACATTTTTTCACTGTATAATTTTTAATCAGTATTATTTGAAAAGGCATATTTTTGTTTTGAAAAAAAGCTATAAAATTATTTCTCCATAAAATTTGTCATCTAATAATTCTATTTTTTCGTGCGTATGCGTGTATATAACTTTTTAAACATTTTTATACATCTATGTACCTTGATATAACTTTTTTTAGAGAAAGATAACATTGTCAGTTTACGAGTCGAAAACTAGGTCGCCCATATAACGGTACGAGATTTTTATTTGATTTTTTTTTTAAATTCCGATCTCTCGCACTTGCAATCTCAAGTAGACAGCACATCGATATATTAGCCTCTCTTTATCGTCCCGTCAAGCGTCGCGTAGTAGCCACAAAGTATGTTGCATGGAAATTACAAATTCCATCGCGAAAAACTACTTTAGATCTCCCTTTTAGTGCCTAAAATACGGCAGCTGCAGCTCTGATGAGATTCCCAGTTGAAGTCGAGGGAAGTTAAATTCGGTGAGAGGAAGATGTCGGAGAGAGGAAAGTTTTCATTTCCGCGCGTTCTATAAAACGGCAAAAACACACTCGCAGCGAATCCTCGGCGAGTCCTAGTACTTCCGGTTCAAGGAGCGGCTAATGCACGGAATTGATTTAACTTTCTGTAATAAAGTCGCTTATGTTGTGCCGAGACGAAAAGACGAGCGTTGATCTCTCTTTTCTCCGTTAACACGACTCGAAATGCGAGAACACATTTTATTTCTCTCGCACAATTAAATACGTATAAATATAATTGTAATCGATACATTCAGGATATATATTTTTTTTAATTTTGTAAGAGATAAAAAAATTATATTTTGAGATAAAAATTAAATTTTTGAATACGTCCATCGTTTACAGATATTTCATTTTTTTTTATCTGATGCGTTATATCCAAATTTAATTAACCAAATTTAATTTATTTAAGAGTGAATTCGATTATTTACACATATGCATATGATCAACATGTTGAAGTAAAATCATATTAAGAGTAAACAAATTAAAATTTCAATTTCTATATGTGTGCAGGAGAAAAATAATCAATTTTATTTTGTACAAATAATTAAAAATATATCAATTTTTTTATCACGTCTCATTCAATACTTTTATGTGGAAAGATATTTTCACTTTTCTCAGGAATTCTGTCACGGCGGAATTTTTCTGGTCTCAATATTGAAATACTAGGTTAAAATTGGTTTTAACGAGAACTTTCTGATACACAAAACGTCAAAATTAAAAATACTCTGTAGTAATTTAATAGAAATGCATTCATGCTGAAAAAAGATATAACAGTCATTTTATGAACAATATATATTGACAATTAATAATTTTTATTAACAAAAAATCGATTTCTAGATTGATTAAAAAAGAGATTTTTAATGTTTGTCAATTTATCTTAAAATTATCATGTATAACTGATTGTGAGTTTAATATATTCGTTGATTAAAATAAGGTAAAGAAAGGGAGAAATTTTAATAATTGATCAATTTTCAATTTTATTAGCAGTTCCGTAACTATATGTATATTACACGTTGCTTATATACATATATAAACGGTCTTTTATTTTATAATAAAAACTATTCAATCTCTTTCACCCTTTAACGAGAGACACATATTTTTAGTTTTCTTAATGAGAGATTTGTGAAAGGATTAATATGAGAATGAACTTGGACATTGACGTTTCCCGATGCTGTCCCAAGTTTCAAGCGACTTTACAAACAATGTCCATACATCAATCGAGCAAACCCTTACAGATTCACCATGCTGAGGCATATTATCCAGCCGGAAACCGATTCGGTTTTCGGTTTTCGGATTAATATGCTTCGGCAAGCGAACTGAAACGAACTCGCGTAAACCTCAATCCGCATTATGTACGTTCTCGTTCGCTAGCGCGCTATTATATACCGGATCCCGTATTTGCTGTCGACTCCGATAGCGAAGAATAGCGAGGACAGGCCGCAGAGAGAGAGAGAGAGAGAGAGAGAGAGAGAGAGAGAGAGAGTGCTTTCCGGGATCGGGGGATAGAAATAGGAAGAACTTGCAGAGTCGGCCGGAAAGAAATTAAAAAGAGCAGATGGCCATGCGACTTTTGAAAAATTATTTTCCGCGTCGTCGAACGTTTTCTCCTCGCGGGATGAAGCAGGGAGGCACCTCGCGACGAATTTTTCGCGTTCTCCCGTCATTTTACGACACCAGGCATTCGTAATTGGATGCCTCGACTTTACTGACTGAATCTCTTACCTCGACTGACGGTTAACCGATAATCACACGGACGATTTCACGAACTCATTAAGATCGTTATCCGCGGCTTCAGATTTTAATTATTATCAGCGAATCGTGTTCCAACGAATTACATCGATATCAGATTATAAGATGTTCATTCTGATGTATACGTGTATTTTATTTAATATCTCGTATATTTATTTAACACATTGCAGAATTTATTTTAGAATTCACCTTGACAATCATGGTATTTGTGAGACAATATATGGTATTGGAAGAATTTTATAAAAGTTTTTCTGATTAAATATTTATTAAAAATATTAATATATCTCCCACAATAAGATATAAAATATGTTCGATTAATTCTACTATGTATATATTAATATTTTTAAGTAGTGAATATTAATCAGAAAAATTCTTCTAATACTATATTGTCTTATGATTACCATGATTTTCAGGATAAATTCTAAGAGAAAATTCTCTCCGTGTAACTTAAATATTTGGTATGAATGATCAATAATACAAGTGTATTATTATCTCCCAAATAATTTGCATAATGCTCTATTGGCTGATTTCAATAATTTCAGTATAACAAAAATGTACAAATCATTATAATGTTTCTTCTTTGAAACAATATCCGGAGAAAATATTCGTAAATTTGATTCTCTGCAACGATTATTTACAAAAGTTGAACAAGTTTTGAACAGTATTTTTACGAACACTATTTTTACGTCTTATTCCAATACCAAATTAATATTGTACTCTTTTTCTTAGACAAACTTTTAATCCGTATTTTTAATCTGACCAGCAAATGTAAATGTAGCAAAGAGGTCAGACTTGAATAAAGTATTCAGCAAGCTAAATAATTTTGTTGGGCCAATTTAATTTTCGTGTATCTTTCTTTTTAAGATCTTTATTTTTATTGGTGTCATCATCTTTCTATTTATGTTAGTCCGAATGTGAGATGTTCCGTTTCTATTTTATATATCTCAAATTATTCTATTATTGGTTTCGTTTCTATTTTATACATATATCTCAAATTATTCTATTATTGGCTCTACTGTATTATAGTTATTTATTCTACTGTTATATATATTTATATATTTTTTTATTTATATTTATTATATTATATCAATTCTATTGTATTATATATAAATACTATTCTATATTTTACTTCCTATTTTTCCAATGCATTGGAATAACTCGCACTGTTCGGCAAAATATCGTTTTATCAATTTTCAATAAGGAAAAATACAATTGATCAAAAATAACATAAAAGGAAACCCGTTTAAAATGATATATAGCCTCTATTTTTATGCTATATAGCCTATATTTTTTCTTTTTATGAAGACAATCTATTGCTTTGATCGTCAACGATTGCTTACGCGTTTAAGGTTTCTCGCGAGGCTCACAATGCGAATTTTGTTACAGCATAAAAATGGAATTGATTTTTCACGATATCGAGATTTCCTTTCTCATGCTCGTCCTTGTTTAACGATCCATTCAAAAGGCATATCAATTGTCCTGAGAGTCGCCAGACTAATGGTATGTCTCTAATGACGACGTAACTTTAAGTACAATCAAGTCTGCCGAATCGTTAATCTAATTTACTCCTCCGCGAGAAGTTACCCAGAACTTTTGATTATCTACCCAGCAAGCGATCGGTTACTCGATTCGACTTACAATAATCATCCTCGAAAGTACATTCAATTCTTCGTCTATTTTCTTGCCGTCAAAAACTCTTGCGTGTGAAAGAAAAAAGGGATAATTTTATTCATAATTTTATTTATGAATACAATTATATAAAAACTCGTTATTAAATATTTCAATACTTCTGTATCAATCTTTCTTTTAAAATACAGATGCTTAAAAATGTCATGATCATTACTTAATATATACATAATATTCGTGTGTATAGTTTTTCTTTTAAAATACATACATATGTTTAAAAATGTCGTAATTATAAATTTATATATACATAAATATTCAATTTTAGACTTTTCAATTTTTGTAGTGGACTTTTCATAGCGGAAAAATAATATTCCATATATACGAAAAATAATTCCAGTTTATTCTCTTCAGTTGTTAGCTGATGTATTTCTTTGGATATATAGACAATGGATCAATAAAATCCAGAATACGCAAGAGAGAGAAAGAAAAAGGAACAAGAATGCGACGCGCAACAGCGCAACACGTTTCCGTCGCAATTTGAAACAAATTGAAAAATTCCTTCATGGCAAAAGCTAAGTTCTAATTTTGTTCCCGCAAAAGCGACGAAGGAAATACTATTCGAAAACTAACAAAGTATATGGATCACTGGTAAAATTTACAAGTATTTTTTACGAAAGAGATTATTTTTTCTGAAAAAGTTCTTTATCACAATTTCATTTCTTCGTCTTTAAAGAGACACTTAGAAGAACATCGATAGAACGTTGCTCGAGCATGATTGAAAAATTAAGAATCTCAATTTTATCATGAGGAGTTTTTAATTCATCTAACTGTGTAACATAGAAAATCAATTACGTAACGAACGTAACTTGTCTCCTGATTAAAACGGTCATGATACTTTGGAACTTACCGTGGAGAAAAGCGGAATGCTGAGATATTCGATTAAGATATAAAGAAGTAAAGCTCATCTTCGTCCTTTTATCGATTTATCTAAAAGTTGAAATTGTTGTCCCAATTTCTCCAAATGTTACTAATTATAATTTCACATTTTGCACGATTAATTTTTATATAAATTTTACAATACATGTGCGCTCTTTCTCTTTTTTCTCTCTCTCTCTCTCTCTCTCTCTCTTTCTCTCTCGTTTATCTGGTTAATTACACGGATCTCTAATATATGAATGGATTAATTTGCACATCAACGATAATACATTTCACTTCAATAATTCATACATTGAAACAGCCATCATTTACCTAATTAAATTTCTATTGCGATGTTAAATTACTATTAATTTTTTGTTCTTTTTGCTATTTAATTTCCTAATAAAAATTAAATGTAAAAACATTTTTGCATTTTACTATTATTATTAATCAATACATATCTAAAAACTGAAAAAAAAGAAAACGGCAAAGAAATAATGAATCAAAATGTATATGTTGTGCAAATTAAAAATATTCAACTAATTAGCTGCATGCGTAAAAATTGACGAAATCTTACCATTTTGTTTATGCGTGGTTCGCCAAAAGCCTTTTTGTTACTTTCTGGTATTGTGAAAGTGTACTCCACATTCCCGGCCTCCTCGGTCCACAATAACTTTAAGGTATAGTTATTGGCCGATTTCATCATTACGACTGGACACATGTCAACGGCATACGTCCCACTGTGTGGTTTCGAAGGATCCTCTCTGTGTTGCAATACTTCCACCACGTACCATTTGCCCATTATCTGCAACAAAATATTTTCACAAAATTGGTGTTGGCGTATAATATGTTGAGCGCAAATAAATAGAGGAATGTTTATTCCTCATTCGAATTTCATATCAAACGAATTCCTTTCTCTTAATGAAAGGTTTTCAGTTAAGGCTCAGTTTCCCAATATTAAGCATTAAAAAGTCACGGAAAAGGGCGCGGTTAAATTTTCGCTCTGGAGAAACTGGTTCTAAATTGGTCAAAGAACTTGCGGAGAAAAGGTAACGCAGAACTCTCAGTATATGCACAAGAGAGTCGGTCGTCGAGGTAATCCAGCAACTTTGGCGGAGGTAGATATAGATAATTCCGTGAGGAGCTTAAAGCTTAAATTACGGGCGATTTATTGGTCGGGCGGCTGTTAGCGATTAAGCCTGTGGAAATAATATTCGGGACTGAATCACCTCCGAATACCGATCGGCATAATAATACGCTCGAGATTTTATTTTTTCAGGCGAGCCATTTCAATTTCATATAGCACCGTGGAATCTTATTAATCGGATATCGTAAAAAGAGGTTACGCTTAGTACTAATCTTCTTAATATTTATTTATTCTCTTTGCGCGTATTTATCTCCCTCTTTTTATTATTTTATTTTTTTTTATTATCCGAAGAGTCGATCGATCCCGCAACTCTTCAGTTTCTTGCTTCGTCGCCCTTACGGTAAACAACAGCCGGGCAAGGGTTAATCCTACAGAACATTAGTTCTAAGTTTCATCGTCGAGGTAATAAGGAGTTTGTCGATCTTACAGCGCGACGTTGATTGATGCGTTTTAGATCAAAATTTGGTCAAAGATACGCGTAGAAAAGCTAAAGGTTAACCAACAAAAAGTTTACCTCGTCAAGAAAATCAAATGTTTGTTATCACAATCAATAGCATCAAATATCGCAAAATTGGTCTCTCGAGTTATGCAATACACGACTACTTGTTAAGAAAATTGATTTTGTAAGAGCATTCAGACGGCTCTCTCGGATATATAAAAAAAGCGGCTTATTGTACTTGTAAAGTAAGTAAAACGCACTTTAACTTTAGTTTAATTTGCGCGTAAAGCTCGTATTATGCACAAACACGATTGTTTATTCAGCTTGCTCATACATTTAGATATATGATGCTAATGTATCCATTGAAAGTACTTAATTGCCAAGTTGATGTAGTGCAATGATGCAGATTATCAACTTGTTGAATTCAAATGGTACGATACGCGGTTTTACTCGCGAAGAATCCTAAGGAGAGTTCGTTCAACAGTGACCGCAATAAAACCGCGAATACCCGAGATACGTAAAGGCTCTTTGGTACTTTGCTTTTACCAATGAATTTCCAGTCTCGCGCGGAAATTCTGTCTATTAATTTGAAAATATTCATGGAAAATGTGAAATATCATTTCTGTTAGTTTTCTCTTGAAATTTGATTCGATAAAAATGTTTTTCGAGCGTCAATTTTCGAAAAAAATTTTTGATATTTCTTGGATTTTAACGAAATCATCTGACAAAAAGATATTTTATATTTATATTTATATTTATATTTATTGTATATATACATATATTTACTTATATCAAGCGCAAAATTAGAGGAAATGCAAATCGAGCAATATTCACGTATTATATATATGTATAAAGATATATGTATATATACCCTACCGTTATTGCACCGGAAAAGCGCCGTAAATCATTGTCGTCGAGGTATACGCGATACTGGGTCACGGCGTGGCCAGGGGATTAAAATTAACGAGATAATAAATATGGCCTTTGTCGAATAGGCCGCAAAAAAATTCAATTGCCATTTCGAGGGAATTGCAATGCACGAACAATCGTGTTTGCGGTTATTCACTCGAAAATGTTCCCTTTTTGTAACCAAACGTTGCGATTGCATGTAAATGCTGTTTCTATTAACTGGAAAGCAAAAAGGTTATTCAATTGAATAAATAAAATACGCATGTGTGCAGTATGTGTAAAATTCGGAACTTTTGCATACGAAATGTTTAGCCTACACTACCGTGTATGAATAATATTGCTCGCCCTTATAGGATTTCTTGCCTCCTAAGAAACTTTGATAGGCGTTCAATAATGAACTTCGCCAAGTTGTTTTATTATTCAATCTCATAAATGCAAGACGTACACAATGTGATCTCGATACTCCGTTGAAATTAAGGAAAGTTTAATCAGTATCGGCCTTGAAAAAGAGGGGACTATACTGAACGCTTCGAGACAGATAGCCCGCATCATCATCGTGCCCTGGTCTTGCAATTTATATCGCTAACAATAGCTAGATAAATGCAGGCTTTTGTTCAAGTTGCGAAAGTAGTTAGAAAGTTTAATTGATATCCGGCACACCATTATTATATGTAACGCGATTATGTCACATGCTCCCTTCGATCGTTTTCGATTAGCCAATAAATTACGATAAAAAAATCGGATCCTCTGCTTAGGTACACATACTTCCGTTATATCCCGCGGAGTGTGAAACATTCTGTAAACACGTAACGTTATCGTTGAACATTTCATTGAAGCAGAACTTGGTGTATAATAATATGCAATACCACGAGAATTAAAAACTCTAACAAATAATAGTCTTCAAGAAAATAACTATTTTACAAAATTATTACTTTTTTAAATTAATTAATTACTTAATTTATATCAATTTAGTTTACTAAGTCTTTCTTGCGTGTATAATATATTTTTATGTTTACAGTTGTATTCGTATTCTTCCTACCAGATATTCAGTTTTATACCCGATAAAAATTTTCCGGTTTTACACTCATAAAATTCATTCCGTCGTTCCAGTAACGAAAAATCGCATTATTTAGAGGATAAACTGATATATTCACTGTGGCATCCTCGTTGGGCTATGCGAATGTAATAAATGTATGTTTTTTTACGAATTGAAAGCATCGCCAACGTGAAATATAACAATCGCGGGGTTTTAAAAGCCCAATGTTCCGAATGACCTTATACCCTTTTAGTAAATTTTAGTAGATTTATATAATTAATACTTTTCACGTGGGAAGAGATTCACCGCATAAAATTGGATAAAAACCAGACCACACATGAAGATTTTAAATCCGACGTATTTGCAAACTAAATTTGCCCTTTTTCTACATAAGGTCTCCAATAAAAGACACGCTCGTAAAAACGGTTTTATTCTCGCACTTTTTCTTTTTAATAAAGAAAACTAAAATTTATAATTAATGTCTATGTTTCTCTTTTTTTTTAATTATAAAATTTTTATAAATACATCTTTGCGCATATGATTAAAATAATTTAACGTTTTAACAAATTGAAAAACGTTATGCTTCTTGGAATATTTGATATTTTGTATAAATTATATATATGTTCGTTATTTTGTATAATAATTATCCAAAAAATGAACTCAGTTCCGACCCTGTGTAAGATCCGTGGATTATAATTACAAACCGAATGACACGTGTATGCATTTCGTCTGGGTATACAGTCCGGTGGACGAAATTACGGTAAATAAACCAACGGTGCGTCGCGCGAGGATAAATTTTCGTTTATTAGACACTCCCGGACACATTCTCAACACACAAACGTGACTTATGCATTCGCTATAATGTAACGAGAATGTCAACATTTTTACGGGAAAAGTGTAGCAGTAATTAGTAACGAGAGAGTAAATTACCATGCGCTTATGCTGTCTAATAGCGGGTAATTTCCGAAATAAAGGGAAAAAAAGGAAACGACGTGAAGTGTGTTTTTTAATTACACTTCGTTTCTGTTACCTCATCGATCACGCGGCATAATGGAGAGGAGTCGAGCCATTCGAATATATTCAACTGCCCAAACTCAGTTTACTAGTACTCGGTACTCTTTTCGCTTCGAAAGCTCTCTTGCAGCAGCGCATACTTTACAAAGTTGAGAGACATACTCTATAGTCAAATATACATATATTCACTGTTTCCATAAGTGCGGGCTTTATCGAAAATGTTATATTTCTCTCGCTTATATGACATACATCTTTGCAAATTGAGGAGCACGACTCAAAATCCTCAAGAGGTACATAACTTTTAAAACGGCACAGAGAAGCCGGAGGATTCATCGGCTCCTAGGCTAGTTTTGGAGCTGTCGTCCGACAGCTGGCAATTTTTCCGAGAGAGATGTGCATTTGCATTTTTACGACTTTCGACGGCGCTTGCCATCGCGATGCCTCTTTCTGACACCGTCGAGACGAGCGGCAAAAATTGCGCCAAGTAAGGTCATGTGCGCAATTTAGAAGAGAGGAAAAAAAGGAAGAGAAAAGTCGCTCATCTAATCCACGCGGCACGAATTATTGTATTTAAACGTTTATTAAATTCTATGCGGCATCATGGATGTTGAAATCTTACAATATGACATACTCGCGAAATTCAATTTTTACATATACAATATATTCTCACCATTTGATGAAAGCAATAAAAAAAATATTTTTTTATATTTACAGCAACGCGTAAAATGTTTTTTTTTTTTTATGTGTGTGTATTATTTTTATATTTGTTTCGTATATTATGAATCAAAAGTAAAGATATTTTTAGATATAATAAATAATTTTCAACATTAATTTTCTTTTGGCATACAAGCATCATTGTCCGAAATTTGGATAATCCGCGGTGTCAAAAACGCGGATGACTTTTATTATATGAAAAGCCACAGTAAATACACGGCAACGTCATACGACGTAGAAAGTAAATCAGTTGTGCAGCGGTGTGTGTATAGGGAATGTCGATTTTTAAATAAATTGTCACGTTGCAGTGTCTGCGCAAAAGGAATTTAATTAAAACGCGGGAATTTGCTCCTCATCGATTCGGCATCTCGTTTAAACGCACATTGACTTGTTATCGTATTTCATATACAGGGCATTCCAGACATATCGAGACGATCTAACGATTCTTTCATCTATTTTACCAGAAAAAAATGATGAGGATCTAATAACTCTTCCCGCGTTCTGAATAGAAAATGAATAGTTTCTTAAAAAGTAAACTTTTTGCAC